AAAAAACCTCGCATTCGATACCGAAATCGATAGCTGAATCGAATGCGAGGTTTTTTTCCAAACACTATCCTGCTTTCATTTCTCTGAATTTTGCCGATTTTAAGGTTTAGAATGATTCTTTAGGCTCATGCGCAGGGGCTATCGTCCTTTTCTTTACTGAAAATTCAGAATCTGCCGAGATTTTTGACCTAAAAGATGCGATATATCGCATGCCAGTTCGACCACTTCATACCTATTGTGATATTTAAATAATCACTGATTTCGGAGTCGGATTTTAGCAGCGCGACGTGGTGGATTTTTTCGGAACTACAGCTGAAGATTAACCTTAATTTCTGCTGAACAGTCGGCTGAGTCGACTCCTACGAGCGAGTCACCGAGCGAGTTATTATTATTATCATCATTATTCTATCAATCATTCTATGCATGCCTATATGGTAACAATCCATGCGTCTCTTCAGAGCAGGACGTCTGCTCCTTTTCAGTTTTTTTTATATTTGGTCTCTTCATTGTGATATTGCGAGTAAGTAAGATCCTTCTCTACTAAAGATTTTCTTTCAATCAAACTGCTTAGAAATTTCGTTTTGCTTCTGACAGATGGCCAAAGTGGATAAATGCACATGTCACATGGCGAAGTTGTAAGTCCCTGCTAATATTTTACTATTTTTTATACTAACCAAGCTGGCGTGCAATGCATTGCATTGAGTAAGAAAACAAGTCGGTCGTTTAAGGATTATGAGTTCACGAATAACGTTTCCAATGCTCATGCTGGGCATTGGATGATGCTCTCTCAGTACAGTCTCGGAATACGTACTTCAAATTAATTCTTTTAAATTATAAGGGTTCGAAAAAATGAATGATCATTTAGGTATTCCTTTGTAACCACCGCAGTCCTTTTCTTTAACTACTGTCCCAGTTTGATTTTGGTTGCCATCTTGAAGTTTTGTGATGTCAGGTGGGTATCACTGTTGTCAGGCGACTACCGAATCTGTAGCGCACAGCCAGCGTAGTGCTCATTTCAAATAATTGCTGCGCTCATCAAGATGAGAATGCAAAGCATTGTGTGATAAGTGAGATGAGGTCTAAATTATCCATCACATTCCTTCCTAGAAATGTGCCTGTTCAAGCTGAAATTAGTTTTTTATTTCTGAATGATGAAAGAACCTCAAAGGATCGAAATATGACTAATTCTTACCTATATATACCTTGCAAGACAACACCCTGAGTTATGAATTTGTCCAGTATCGTTGCAATATCAGTAGAATACCTAATAGCGGCACCCAGTGTCACAGTACGTCATACATGGATTGAGCGTTTTTGCAGGCAAAGACCCCCTACGAATGAGCAGGCGATCACAGAGCGGGAGTAGCTGGTGGAGCGTGCATGAAGCTCGCTCGGACTCCATGATTATACAAAAAAAAAAAAAATACTCTGTTGCTCTCTCCTCTCCTCTACTCTTTGCACATCACATAATGGCGCCAAGCACAAATTTCACTCTCGGAGAAAAATTAAACTGCTCAGCTCAGGGAATTGACCTTTTTGATCGGGATTAAATTTCTGAAAGAGTTCAAACCAAGTACTAACGAGGGTAATTCTCAAAATTCTTTGGCAAGACATTTTTCTGATATAATTTAAGGATTACCTAAGAAGGGAAAATCTTTAGCATATCTGGAGAAATCACAAGCTTGTGTGGGGGCCCCGCAGCGTTCTGAGGCATTGAAATCAAATTCTAAACGTTCCTACTTACATTTTGAATTTTGATGGAAAATAAGGGGGGGAGGGGCATCATTTATATCTGAGCCATGGGGATGCCAGATGATGAGGGATGAGTTTGAGGATTTTTGCGCTCAGCAGAGATGTTTTCAGGAGCATTGGGGGAACTAGTTAGGAGGAGGGGGGAGAAATATTACCCTCCCCTGACTTCAAGAAATATGAGGGCTTTTGCTAAGTTAGCTGTGTTGCTTGACTTTCATTGTGGAATTTGTAATTCTACCAAAAATATTTTCATGTGAAGATGAACCATCAAGCTAAAAATTTAACTCAGCATTCGCACAAATTTATAAATTTTTTTTGTGGCACAATGGTACAACTTCTGGGAAACATCCTGTTAAAGGTAACGAGGCACTTAGCATATTTCTTGAAAAATTTGCTAAAAAAATATCTTTGCACATTTCTGCTTTTGATAACTTATACCTACAAAAGTACATAACGATCCGAAAAGTGGTGAATTTTACCAGTCAGGCATCAAGGGGTGAAATATGGGAGCATAAATATAGCATTAGGTACCTAAGATGACATTTGAATCAGTGAGTTCGAAAATGCACCAACTCGGAAAAAAAATTTTTCAGGAAACACCTAAAACTTCGCAGCGGGCGAAGAAGTTAGTTTAAGAAAAACTTTTTTGGTGCCAAAGGACGCAAGAAGTACTCTAGAGACTTTAACGCACCAAGTTTCAGATACTGATTTTTCATAGTCTGCCCTGAAAAATTTATATTTTTTGACCTGAATAACGCTTGAATATTTATATAACTTGTTGGCACAAGGTATACTGAACCGAAAAAATAAAACCGTATCGGATAGTCGCCCGTTTCCCTTGATCGGCCAAAAATTGGTATTTCCAATGAAATTCTTTGATTCTTCCCTTTTCCCGTCGCCGTTTCGAGCACTTCCGATTGCAATTTCGAAATATCCTTTTGCGTGCAGATGCTTCTACTTATCCATAAGTGTTACTAAACCGTAAAAAAGTGAAAATCGAAAAAAACCCGTGTTGGAGTGTTTTCGAACTCACTGATTCATTTTACATTATTGGAGACATGATTATGTGGATGGATAAGGTGCGATAGGATGGGTTATAGTTTAGAGAGTGCTCGAACTGCTCTGAGTTCCCGTCGCGCCACGCAGCCATCTTGCCTGCTCATTCCGAGGGGGTCTTTGCCTGCAAAAAGTAAACATCGTCATACATGATGTAGGTAATTTTCATCCAAATAAGAGAATAATAAATATTTACCTTCATTACCACCAAGTAGATGAAAGTTCCACTGTGAACTTAGTTGGCCAATAAAAATGCAAACAATGAAGCAATTTTTTCTATTTCCTGACTCCAAATGGTTAGAATTCTAAGGCAAAGTATAAACTGTATTCATCATTCTTCAATTAATACAAGGTTGACTGTTTGCATGGAAATGATAGTGCATTAGTTGGCTTGTCTATTTTTCTAAACTTTAAATTAAGTTGATGAAGGTAGCAGGTTATCGTCAGCAAGAGCTATTGATATATGTAGTCAAGAATGGTCTATTTTTAATTCTTCCAGAGGAGCATCATTAGTATTCAATACAAAACTCTCAGGGTTCTCTGTGATACTGTTGAAACATATGCTATGCTATGCTAAATGGTCTCCGTTGTGACCACTTTTTCTCTTCATCTTAACCTAATATTTATGAAAAAGGAAGTCCTGCTTGTACGATTCTTCCAGTCATAATTTATCCTTAAAAAGGTATTATTAATAAAAATGTGTTGATCTATCTATAATATCGTTGACCTTTTTTCTGAGCTCAACAAAGTGGTGACCCCGACGTGATTATTTTCTCAAAATCTAGAAAAGAACTAATTATACTGTTGTGTGAAGTTATGAGTCTATCTCTGGCAATGGCTCTTGCTGATATCAGAGACTCAGTTAATGGTTATGGCTTTTGCTAATACCACCTTGGATTTTGGCTATGGCGATTGCTTGAGGCCACTAATTAAATATGGTTATGGCTTTTGCTAATACCATTGATTTTGAACGGTTATGGCTTGTGTTGATACCGGATGGATCGTTTTAAAGGTTATTGGCTTTTGCTGATACCTCGGATCCTTTGAGGATTTCACAGTGTTGATATCCTCTAGACTGGCCAGTCAAAACTTTTGTTGTTATAGCTTTTGCTGATACAACTATTGGCTGCACTGCATGCCTTTTCTTTTGTTGTTATAGCTTTTGCTGATACAACTATTGGCTGCTCTGCATGCCTTTTCTTTTGTTGTTATGGCGAGAGTATAGACAGATGTGAAACTCCGAAAATCCATCAGGCCTTCACCGATGTCTCCGCGAATAAAGTTAGGGCCCAGAAATGCAGCCAACCTATGAATCTCAATTATCCAGAGCGCTTTACTAATACAATTGTTACGAACCATCGTTTATAAAGCACGTATTTGACTTACTTGTTGCATAAATTTACTCATTTTTGCGGAGGAACGCTCATTTATGTACATTCTTACCCATCTTGGTTAGAATTGGAATGTGCAGACTGGCAGTGAAATTTTGTGCGTTAGAAGTTGGTTAGAAGGGTGGCTGCACTTTTGGGCCCTAAGCCCTCCATGAAGCGATCTGTCCATACTCTTGCTATATAGGTACTCTAGTTATGGCTCTTGCTGATACAACTATTGGCTGCACTGCATGCCTTTTCTTTCGTTGGTATGGCTTTTGCTGATCCAATTCCTGGCTGCATTGCATGCCACATATTGCTCGAATGAAGCAGAAACCTTAAAAAAGAAGCTACAGAGGAGTTGAAAATGCGAAAGGAAAACATGGAATATCAACTGTCCAGAATTGTGAATTCTATGGAAACTAGATGGAAACAACTTCTGAAACAAGCTCACCTGAGATGATTAAGCACTTTGATAAGTAAAATAATGTGAGGAGACGCCCAATTTTCCCAGACATTACAGGGGGAAATTGGCAACGTCAGGAGGAGCACCGACTTTAGGAAAAATGCTGATGTCCGCTGGGAAATGCGCATGCGCGCCGCCAGCCGACCCGAGCGTAGGGAGCTGGGCGACTTGCTCGGACGCTCGAGGAAGGCCAGTCTTCGCAACGTGGTCGTCTTGTGCAAGTGCTCAGGGCTCCGGTCTGCACTCGTACGTCATCGACGAACCGCAAAAATCAGACGAACGACTCCGGCTCGCTTTTCAGCACCGGATATTCCTTTCCGAGTCTCTTCCCTTTTAGCTGTCCCATTTCAGTCTTGTCGGGCTCTTGTCCATCGGAATAGGATTGTTCAACTCCAAACAAAGGAATACATTTGAAAAGATCGTCAAGGATAGATTTTGTCTTCTTCATTGACTTCTTCATTTTTGGGAGGGTCACCGACTGCCCCCCCCCCAAAAGCCCCCACTGTTGTGTTGCGTCGTGGTCTGCACGAGATCTCTCTCTATAGAGAGACCACGGGCGACCACTGTCCGACACAACAGCCCCCCCCCCTGGAGTCCTGTGACGTCAGCTCGAGATATCTCTCTTTAGAGACGTCCCGTCGGCTGACGTCGCGACGCTCCAGAAAACGACCCCCTTTCGACCCTAATCAGGGTCATCACATGGTTGGAGGCGCTTGTCTTTTCCCCAGGGAGAAGTCGATCAGGTACTCAGTAGGAAAGTACTAGGAATTTAAGACACTGATTCACCAGAAGGGTCGATCATTCAGTCGTTTTGTCTCCACGTATTTTTCCTCAGCAATCTACACCATCGCGTCATCGATCATTAAACTCCTCGGAGTTTATTCGTGACCAAAAACTTTTTTTTTTTGTTCTAACATTTACTTGAGCTCTGGAAATTGTATTTTTTCGCTCAAAATTTTAGATTTTCCGTAAAATTTTTCTTAGAAAATAT